CCCCCGGCTGCCCCCCCAGGGCCGCCCCCCGCGCCGGCCCTGTCCAGACGGCCCGCCGCGCCTGCATTCGCAGCAGCTCCGCCTGGCACCCACTCCGGATTCCGGCCCTGGCCCGGGGCCTGGCCGCTTCCCTGCCCACCGGGCCTGACTTTTACAGCTTTTCTCTCTTTTTTTTAAAGTTGGTAGGAGACTTGTACAGTTGACTGGTTTTCCTCCCGTTGGTAGTTGAGACGCGGTTGCAAATTTCACCCCTCCCCGCCCGGTCCAGATTGTAGCTCTGAATCTTCCCTGCTCAGCTGGCCGGGGCGCAGGCCTCACCCTGCTTGGGGCCTGGCGTGGGGGGAGCTCTGGTGGGAGAATGGCCCTCCACCTCTTTTCCTAGTTTTATGTTTCTTGGAAAAATACCACTTTGTATTCTCTGTCCAGGGCTTCAGATATTTTGCACGAATTTTAAAACATGGCAATAAATGGCTCGTGGGCTCTGGCTCCCTGGGACCCCTCCCCGCCCTTCTCTGGACCCCGCCCTACCGGCCCGAAGGAAGCAGCGGGCCCAGCTGGGGCCCCTCGGCTCCCCTCCTCCTGCCGGGCAGGTCCCAGGCCGGAGGCCCCCAGGCGCGATTCAGATCAGGGCTGTGGATGGGGCCCAGGGGCTTGGGCGGCCCCTCCCCAACTCCCTCCTCTTGGCTTGGGTTCTTTTTTCACGTTCAGTAACTGTTTTTTTGGAAAGCACAAATTCTGTAACGGGTCGTGCTCATGTCTGTTAATAAAGAAATGCAGATCTGCCGCCTGCCGGGACCCGTTCCCAGCCCCGCCCGTCGCCCTCACGGCAGGCCAGTGGGGGTCCCAGCCGCCCGGGGGAGCCGGCCCGAGTCTGGGAAAGGGCTGGCCTCAGACTCAGCTCGGCACCCTCAGGCTGCCCGCTCGGTTCCTTCCCGCCCGGGCCCCGGCGGCTCTGGTCCCCAGGACCTCGGAGCAAGCAGCGGGTGCCCCCTCCGCTGTACCAAACCAGATCACACACCTTTATTATCCTCGAAATGTAACAAACGGGGTAAGAAATCCGCCCTCCCCCCGCCCCTCCCGCAGTCCAAGGGAAGCGTTTAAAAAGCCCCGCAGTCAGGCCGGCAGTCCGCGGTGGGGCCCGGGGCGCCGGGCGCCCCTCTACACGGCTGTAGTCCTCCCGAACAAGGGGATGGAGACCGGCAGGCGCCAGGCTCCGTGCTCCAGGGGCTCGCGGGTGCTGAGCTCCGAGTCGGTCCAGCTGGGGAAGACCCGGCGGCCGCGGTCCGCCTGCAGGCAGAGGGCGGGGCAGGGCGGCGCGGGCCGGGGGGCGCTGGGCAGGTGCAGCGCCGAGGTGTAGCCCCGGTCCAGGAAGAGCGGCTTGTAGCTGGGCGGCGGCTGCTCCTGCTTCTCCGCGCTGTCGCGGCGGCTCAGGAAGGGCGTGACGATCTTGCGGTAGAGGCCGCGCGTGTCCGTGAGCACCTCGCTGTAGGGCGGCGGCGGCTCGGCCATCAGCACCGCCTCCT